AAAAAAAAAAAAAAAAAAAAAAAAAAAAAAAAAAAAGACAAAAAAGACAAAAAAAAAAAAAGTCCTGAGATAAAGAATCCCACACCCATTGCTACTTCTAACTTGTCTAGCCTTTTGCTTGGTTTCTGGCTGATGAAGCAGACTAACTCATTGCTATTCCAAAACTAGCTGAACCAAGCTATGAAATCTCACCTGATGTATAAGATGTGATAGTTAAAAGTACTTTAAACCTCAATTTAGTGTTAACTGGCATTTTAATGCAAAAACTGACATATTAGAACCACTAGAAACAGCATATTCTTCTGTTATCCATTCTAAGTTATCTTTAGAAAAGGCATCAATACCTTGCTCAAGAAGAAGACTAACTATATTAGTTGATTCATAATTACAGCAAGCATGAGGGCTGTAATAAAATAACACAGAGAGAATTTCACCCTTATGAACATTAAAAAAGGTATTTAAACAACTAATTTGCCATATTTTACCAATTTAATCTCATGCGCATCTGTGTAGAATTGGCCATTTACACATACTAACAGAGATAAGCATCTTTGGTACTCACCTTTGTAAATCACCTCAAAGGCTAAAAGGAAGGGACAAAAAGGAGGCCTCGTTGTCCCACTGGGGTATTACATAGTAGAAAGTGCTAACTGAAAGTCCTCTGATGGACAACAAACTATGCTGAGGTCACTTATTTGAAGTAGATAAGGATTTAAATGGAATATTCTCCTTTTTTTCCCTACTCTAATACAATACATTGCGATTCAAAGTCAGCTAGGGGTCAGATAGGTAAAGCTATTTCCAGTCTTAAAACAATACTATTAATAATGGTAATAATAATAGTCATAGTAGTTTCAGTTAAGGATGCTGACAAGCATGTACCCGGCATGTAATTAAATGCTACATATATAATCTTACTGACTTACAACCACCCTTGAAGAATACATTATTATCCTACTTTTCACATCAGAAAACATAGTTGGTGATAAGTAATGTTCCCAAGGTCACATCCTACCAAGTGCGAAAGCTAGGAATTAAACTCAGTCTTCTGTGCATCTAAAGCCTACCTCTTTTTTCTTTATCACTCACCTATGACTTATCTTCATTAAAGAAAAAGTTTATCCAATTAAAGTAATCTATCTTCCCTCTGCCCATACCATTAAAAATAAAAATATTAAAATACACTAGAAATGAAAAAAAATTCTGATCCTTGCACTGGCCAGCTGAGGGGGAAAAAAACAGATACATAAAAAAAGAAAGGCAGGGTTGGCTGGTTAGCTCAGTTGATTAGAGCATGGTATTATAACACCAAGGTCAAGTGTTTGGACCCCTGTACTGGCCAGCTGCCAAAAAAAAACCCAACAAGAAATGAAAAAGAAAAAAACTGATGAACCCACAGTGTCTAGTAATAGCAATTAATAATGATTTAGGGATAACCTAACACCAAAAGAAAGCAAAGAGTCATCCAAAGACAAAATGATTTTCAACTCCTACTTATGTTTAATAAGCATTTTTAAGGGAAAAGTTTATAATAGCAGTGTTTAATAAACACTATAAAGGGTTAACATATTCAATACTGAGTCCGTCAAGCAAAAGAATTAAAGTACACACTTTATAAAGCTAATAAAACTAATATGAAACTCCTTTAGCTAACATAAAATCATGAAATCAAAAAAATCAGATTTCAAATAACATCAGTCAATATTATAAGGGAATATGAATCCTTCTGTATGCTGTTCTTCATGTTGCTCAGTCTGAATAATTGCTTTTCTTCCTACATGATGATTTATGTTATTTTTCACTATATTCCAATAATTATATGATAATCTTATTAATTGACTATTTCTGACTTGAGTAATTGTTGCCACTCTAGAACAATATTAAAGTTTAAAAGAAAAGAAGGAACTACTGTACCTTTTCACCTTGTCAACTCCACGTATATTTGCTCCTTTCTGTACTAAAAATTCCACCATTGGCTGTTTGTTTTCTTTTATAGCAAGCAAAAGTGGTGTGAGCCCTTCCTGTGAAACCGCAAAAACAACTTATAATTTACAAAATTACATATTTCTCAACTGAATTGAAAACCTCATAAAAGATCCTATGAACTTAGACACATAATATAGAAAGTAAATAACAGGCCATCCCTTCCTTCTCACCCCTTTGTGCTTTCACATATGCTGCTCCTTTCCTTTCAAATGCCCCTGCTCTGCCTCATTACACTAACTTCAGTCATCTCCAAAACTCCCTTTGAACATTTACTGGTTCTGAGGATCTTTGCTTTTACCACAGCATTTGCCATGACATATTGTAGTTATTTTATTGTTTCCTATCTAAACCACGAACTTCTTGAGGGCAGGGGCTCTGTCTTTTATCTCTATAGCCCCAATCCTAAAACATAGTAGTAAATGCTTTAAGTATTTTTATCAAATTAATGACCTAAATTATCATCTTTAGAGCAGTGTACTTTAAACTATATTGCAAAGAGTATTTACTTTACTAGAAGTACTATGCTCCAATAGAAACATTCCAAGATCATCTATATTTGAGAAATATTACAAAACTGTGTATTATATGTCCAGTATTAAAGAAATCTCTTTAATTTGCTTAATCCCTAGTTGACAATACTTTTTGTGGCAAACATTAACATTTGCAGAATTAGAGTTTCAGGGATACAGTTTTGAGAGCTTTCCAATAAAGGTGGAGGTTCGTTCCAGGTTATATAAACTCACTTGATTCTCTTCTATTAATAATGTCAGGCCGAGCCCGTGGCGCACTCCGGAGAGTGCGGCACTGGGAGCGCAGCAGCGCTTCCACTGCGGGTTCGGATCCTATATAGGGATGACCGGTGCGCTCACTGGCTTAGCGCAGTACGGCCGGTCTCAAAAAGGACAAAAAATAATAATAATAATAATGTCAGGATCCCAGATGCCAATGTCAGGCACTCCTGCTCCAAATGGGCCACTAAGGAAATGGGCTCTGAATTCAAAAAGATAGGCTTCAAATGAATTTCAATTGCTTATTACTAAAAGGTCTGTGGGACTATATTTGCAGAATTAGAGTTTCAGGGATACAGTTTTGAGAGCTTTCCAATAAAGGTGGAGGTTCCTTCCAGGTTATATAAACTCACTTGATTCTCTTCTATTAATAATGTCAGGCCGAGCCCGTGGCGCACTCGGGAGAGTGCGGCGCTGGGAGCGCAGCAGCGCTCCCGCTGCAGGTTCGGATCCTATATAGGGATGACCGGTGCGCTCACTGGCTGAGCGCGGTACGGCCGGTCTCAAAAAGGACAAAAATAATAATAATAATAATGTCAGGATCCCAGATGCCAATGTCAGGCACTCCTGCTCCAAATGGGTCACTAAGGAAATGGGCTCTGAATTCAAAAAGATAGGCTTCAAATGAATTTCAATTGCTTATTACTAAAAGGTCTGTGGGACTATATTAGAAGATGATAGATTTTGATGTTAGCTGTTAGAGAGCTAAGTACAAAATTTTATTTTCAATTATAATCATAATCCTGGAACTCTAATGTCTACTTACTTTTTGTAATCCCTTTTTATTCTGACTTCCATTTTAATTGTTACTTAAATTATTTATCTTAGG